TCTTTTTAGTCTGTCACCTTTAGCTATAACGCTTCATGCATCCAGTCAAAGAATCAGGTAGTGTTTGTAAATGGCAATGATAAACAGGCTAACTCTTTTATTAACAGATGAACTCCAAAATTAACTGGTGATTTTTTTTTCTTCTAACTGGTGAACTCTTTTATTAACTGATGAACTCTTATTAACAACACAAAAGGCAAATTTGAACATATTTTAATTTCACAAATTATTGCGCAATTTCTTCTTCGTACTTCTGCACTTTATCTCCCAACAAAGCATAGGCATTCAACAAAATCACGCAAGTCGGCCTATCCTTTGCTATGGCATGCAGTTCACCTCATATCCTCATCTTTTCTTAACATTCTAGTTATACTGTGATCAGATTTTCTTAAACAGCACAACTGACTGCCTCACATATTTTACAGCATCTCAACAGGTGTATTACTGAAGTCAGTAAAGGACCCTTTTCCACACCTTTCAGGCACTTTGGGCATATAGCGTTAGACCTATATTTTATAGACCAAACGGTATTTGGTGGGTGATGTGGTCAGCATCTCATCAGCTGCCTTTACTTCCCAGGACTGTACCCGGTACCCACTCAAGGCTGAGTCGACCCAGGAGCCAAAGCGATTTCTGAAAAAAGTCCGGCCCAAGTGTATAATTTCAGAGTTAAAATCAACACACATGACAAACATAAAATTAATCCTATCAACCAAATCCACAAATAAAATAAATCTAATGTTACACTGCCTGTTTCAAGGAAATCATAGACTAATAGTGCAATCTTTTTGTATTCATAATCTTCTTCTTCAGCGATCTCTGGTCATGCGCATAATCCACTGTGGGTCATAAACTGGGATGTCTTTTCAAGGTCTCTTAGGTTTCCCCAAAGCTTAGTTGTCAGTTCTACTGGGTGTTGCCATATGTCGCTCCGCAGCTCCGCCAGGAGAGGACAGTCTTGCAGGACATGTTCTGGAGTCTGTTCAGCACGAAGACACTGGCAGAGAGCTGTTTGGCTCATACCTAATTTATATGAGTGTTTATTGAGTCTGCAGTGTCTAGTGCGTAAGCGAAAAACTGTGACTTGGTCTGTTCTGTTCAAGTGCCTCAGAAAATCTTTTCCGTAGTCATAACCAGTGTTGTTTTTCCAGTCTGTTTCTGATTTTCTCTTAATGAGAGTTTTGACTTCTGGAAAAGATAGTGGCTGGTAGGTCTGTAGTTTGTTACTGCCTTCCTTGGCTAAAGCATCTGCGCTTTCATTGCCTTTGATGCCACAGTGAGACGGAATCCACTGCAAGTGAATTTCTGCCTTATTTGACAACATAGCAAGTTCCTGTGTTATACTTTGTAGTGTGCTGTCGGTAGGTTTGGACTCAAGGGCCTGTATAGCTGACAGTGAGTCAGTGAGAAAAACTATCCTGCCTGCGGTGATTTGCAGATTGTTCATATACTGTGCTGCCATCAATAGAGCTGAGAGTTCTGCCTTGTAGTTAGAGCAAGTACGTCCGGTGGGGGCTGCTAGGGACACAGTAGTGGCATCTGGGTGTTTTATGTAGACACCTGCCCCACCATTCGTAGTTGCTTCTTTTGCTGATCCATCCGTGTAGATTCTTGTCCAGCTGTCCTGTGGGAACATGTTGTTGAGGTGTTCTATTGTGAGTGCTTTCTTCATTAAAGCGGGCTCAGCATCTTTGTTTCCCAGGTTCGGGATGGATGTTGACACATTGAGTGTCAATAATTTGGAGTCCCAGAGATCGAAAGATAGCTCTTCAGGTGTACATTGTTGGTTAAGTAGTGAAGAGAATGACTTTCCAAATTCCTTCGTTAGATGGTTTAGGCTTTTGCGCTTTATTCTGTTTTTTTGTCCTGGCTGCCAATTTTTCGTGTAATGGGTGGTTTAACATTCTCTTCATTTTTTCAGCATGTAGAATTGCTTTTGTCCTTCTTCTTTCTTCTAAGGGGATGATGTTGGCTGCCTTTTCCATTTCTACAATAGGTGTAGATTTTATGGCTCCCAGAATTGTACGCAGACTTCTATTTTGCGTTTTGTCTAGTATCTGTTTATTGGAATGGGCTGCTGTTATCCATGACGATGATGCGTATTCGAGAGTTGGTCTGACTGTGCCGGTGTATACCTGCTTCAAGATACAACTGTCTGCTCCCCAAGTGGTGCCTGCCAATTTCTTCATCACACCTTGTTTTCTCATGGCTTTTTTGTTAGTTTCTAGTATGTGATGTTTCCATGTCAGACGACTGTCAAGCTTGACTCCCAGGAAGGTTGGAGTATTGGAGCGTGGAACAGCATCATTGTTGAATTTTAATGTAAACTTTTCCTCCTTTGTAGACAATGAGAAGAGTGTTGCTACAGTTTTGTTCCTGTTTACTTCGAGGCCCCATTTGTTGGCCCAGTTTAGTATTCATAATCTGTGATTGCTGATTCTAATTTCGTCCACTTGTGCAAATATCAAGAGGCGCATGTTCAGTCATTACTACAACCATTTTCTGTAAAACAGAATATATACATCATGTTCTCTCCTCCCCCCTCCCCCCCTTTTTCCCCCCAAGTTTTCCAAGTTGTGTAGGACAGAACATGTATGGAACATTTTAGTCCACATATTATTTATTCACAGATTATTTTTCATAAAAGCATCTAGTGAAAAAATCAAGTATTTTTTGTAAGAACACTTCTAAAATAGTAAAATGAACAGAAAAATAGTTTAAAAAGCAATCCTCAAAACAAAATTGGAATACATTTTTAATCAATCTCAAATGAAATGACTTAGACCGTTGTAGGGAACATACCAAAACATATTTTCAAACAATGAGTCCTGATATGTGGAGAAGACAATTGAGAATGGGCTTGTGGCAGATATAAACCACATCAAATTACATTATATAGAAATCTTCAGCAGTTTACAGCTAACAAAACAGCAGCAAGTTATTTAAAAATAAACAAAAGACTAGTTCTGATTAAACAACTTTTTACATTAAAAAAACAGTCTTGACAGAAAAACCTGCAAAAACATCACATTTCAGCACAACAGAATGTGCACTGCCATACTGAGGGTATTCTTCTCTTGCCTTTCATCCCCCAATAAAGCATAGGTCCTCAATCATATTAAATAAAAATCTTTAGGATTTAACTTCTCATTCATGAGAATTAAACAGCAGAAAACCCCAGAAAGCCTGTTCCACAACATCGCTATCATCATTATGTACCATGCCGATAAAGCACAGGCCGTCACGTTTTGACATCTCACACGATCGCCATAATTGTGGATTAGGTCAGTTTTCTTGTTCTGCCCTGTCCATGGTATTTATTCTTCTGCCTTCATCTTGTCAGCTGTTACAAAGTTCTCAAGTTCATTCTTCTCATAACATGTTCGAAAAACACAGACTGTTTACTTCTAATTGTTCAAATCAATTTACAACAGTCATTTATCTAGGGAAGGACTGCCTTGCGGTTTTAAAAAAAATATAATTCTATGATATTTCCTACATTCTTCTCAAAAAATACATCTCTGCTGTGAAGGAATGTTTTTTTCTTAGCTTGTCTGCTTACTGTCCATGTCCCACATGTATATAAAAACACCCAGGGCTTTTTTTTTAATAGAAAAAAGTGTCGGTACTCTCCACAGAGTGTCTACAAAATGTTCTGGTACCCATCATCCCATTTCTATTGCAGTTGTGCTGACGAAATAATGCCCACAAGAGAGGTGCCGGTACTGTGTACCACTGCATACTGCCAAAAAGATTGTTGAAAACATGGGTTCTATATAGAACTTTAACACTCCCCCCACTACAACTGACATCTTATTGAAGAGCATCTTTTGCCTCTTCCTAAAGGCAACAGCACAACACAGTTATACTGGGACAGCTATGGTTGTGATATAACCTACAGTTCAATGTGGGTGTGTGATATGAGTGGTAACGCACCAGATTTTTCGGCCAGAGACTTTCTGTGCCCCTTGTGGTTTGTGTAGAGAAAGACTCTGGTGGAAACATGTAATTTTTCTTATGTGTGTACGTAAGCTCCCCCCCCCCCCCCTCCAACCCTTTCCCTTTTTCATTAAACTTATTAGTCATAGTTCACTGAATTAATTTCTTAGTATTGGCTTGACTGCTGTCCCCACTGTTTCCATCACTTCAAGCACCAGACAGGGTTGTTCCTGAATTACTTGATTTTGCAGCTAAAATGTTCCATAAAGTAGCTAGTCTTATCCCAACCCTCCTGAGTCAACTCTTATGACATGCATGGTAGCTTACAATATTACTCTGCTTCCCTTGTGAAACCTGGTAACTCAAATGCTTCTTTGGGTTCACTGCCATCATCATGTTGTGCCATTAAATATCAAACAGGGCTTACAGTTTTCTATTCCGTTCTATCCTGTGAATTGTTTCTATTTCATGGCACCTGTGGTCTGTCTAATCTCCATTTCAGAGTTTCTACTTAAGGTTCTCATTTACTCAACAATCCATTTGTTTCCCATCACAGTGCCGGTTTAGTGATTCTCTGCTCATTTCTTCTCATGTTGTACTTAACACAGCACTATCGTCTTTGTCTTACAGCTATTGATACCAGCGCTTGTCTAGACATTTCTCTGATTTCTTCACCTTTTTCCAATGCCTCCCATTTAATATTCATCATCATCGTCTGGGTTCTAAGGCCCCATCCTGGGGAAAAATAGAATAGACTCACTGCTTCTGTAACAGGCATGTCAAAAGAGTCAACTAATTAGGGATATTTCCTAGAGTGCATCTGCCTGAGAGGCGAGGAACTAACAATCTGCATACAAATAAGCTAAATTTGTAAATTGGATGTGCATGCAAAATTCAGGTTCTGGAACAAAATTAGGGTTCAGAAGTGGATAAACAACCAGAACGTTCCATCAGCATTTACAGTCAGTGAATGAGAACAAAAAATGTTCATTAATTTCCTTAGGCATTTGTTTTTGAATGCAATTAACAGTTGTCTTAGGGTTGGCAAGGTAAAATAACAACTACTGTATTCTGATTAAGCTGGAGCTTGGTAAGACATTCTTGTTGCAGTCTGCCAAGGTTTCTGTACATACGGTATCTGCACATGATCTGGCAGGAGTAGATGTGATATCACCAGAATCGCCTGAGGTACATGTGATGGAGGCACCACTATCTGACACAAATGTTGCTGTGGAATTCTGTAGGTTTTCCTAAAGATAGATCAACAAAGGAATTACTGTATATAACAACACGCAGGGATAAACAGTTGTGTGCAAGAGAGACAAGAAAAGTTTAGATATGGAGGTGGACTGGTGGGAACAGGTTGACATGAACTGTGTTGTATGATGAGGGATGAATGAATGAATCAGGACATTCCTACATGTGCTCTTTCTTCTGTAGCTAACGAAGAGTCGACATGCTAACAGTTACAAGTCTGATTATCTTCACAGCCCTCCGGACTCATCCATAGGCGCTCAGATTCTCCTCTCAACATATTCATTAGCGTTGCACGGTTAATAGTGCCAGTCCTATGTTGGTTAACAGGACTTTGTGTGCGTCCGGTGTGCTTCTCATGCTTGGCTGTGCCGATCTTTACTCCCAATTCTCGTATTCTTAGCAGTGATGTGGACATGCTGTTTCCAAAATCCTCAGAACATCCCATCTCTCTAAGGGTAATGACAATGTCTGCATGATCCATGGGCCGACCATTTTCAATTATTGCAGCACCTGCTAGTCTATCAGCTCTTTCATTACCAATAACGCCTGCATACCCTGAAAAATCCACTATATGCTTCTGATCTGAGTCGTATCAAGTGATGCAAGCCAATTTGTGTGCTGGACACCAGTTTAAATTTTCCAGAGCAAGCTCTCTGAGTCCATTACAATTACAACATTGATGGGAAAGATCTAAGAATAATAAAGAATATGTATTGGCAGCAAACAGCAGCTATAAGAATTAACAACTGTTTAGGTACATTTCAAAGCATAAAGAGGGGCGTACGACAAGGATGTGTACTTTCACCTGATTTGTTTTCAATATACAGTGAATATATTATGGGATCTTTAATTGATATGCCCGGAATCGTGGTTGGTGGGCACAATATAAACAATTTACGTTATGCTGATGACACAGTCTTGATAACAACAAGTCAGAAAGAATTACAGGAAATGATAGACATTGTGGTGTTAGAAAGTGGAAGAATGGGCCTCAGTTTGAATAATGGGAAGACAGAAGTAATGGTGGTATCAAAGAAACAAATTATTCCTAAATGTGTAATAAAAGTCAATGGTGTTATTTTAAGACAAGTACAGAAATTTAAGTATCTGGGCACATGGATAACATCAGATGGAAGATGCATAACTGAAATAAGAAACAGAATTGGACAGGCAAAAACTGCATTTTATAAAATGAAAAACATCTTGTGCAATATATCCTTGTCATTGAGTTAGAAAAAGAATTCTTGCTTGCTACATACATCCAGTTTTAACATATGGATGTGAATCCTGGACAATCGGTAGGCAGGCCAAACAATTTTTAGAGGCCTCAGAGATGTGGTTTTACAGAAGAATGCTTAGAATACCTTGGACAGCCAAAAAGAGCAACCAAGAGGTTTTAAAAGAGGCGGGAGACCGAAGACAACTTATCACTGACATCAGAAGGAGACAGTCATCATTTTTCGGCCATGTTATGAGAAGAGGGAAAATAGAACATGTTGTGACCACTGGAAAGATCTGTGGAAGGAGGGATAGAGGAAGACAGTGAGAGAAGATGCTTGACAGTCTTGGTGCATGGCATGGAGGTGTGTCGGCACACGAACTGATACATGCTGCAGGAGATCGCGGATTATGGAGAGGCATGATCGCCCACGCCAGTCGGCAAGGCACCTGATGATGATGATGATGATGGAGAGGAGAATTAGGGAAACCAATAGGGATTGACCCCCATGTGGGTTACTGGGCTTAGAGAACAAAGAATAGACCCACTGTTCCCTTAACAAGCATGTCCCAGGAAACAAGTGAATTAGGGGTGTTTCCTTCAATGTCGCAGTGCGCCTGCCTGAGAGGTGAGGAACCAACAGTCTGCATACCAATAAGCCAGATCTTTTAAATGGGTGTGCATGAAAGACTCAAATTTTGAAACAAGATATAAGCCCAGGAGTGGACGAACAACCAGAACTTTCCACAGGAGTTTAGCCGGTGATTGCTAAAAAGACGATTAGGGATAAAGAGGAAAATGACTGCGGAGAGCTGAGCATCTAAAAGAAGAAAAAAAAGCACTTTAAATAAGACCACATAAATATTTTGTCTTTGAACAATGCTAAAACACCACAGAAATATTGTATCTATAAACAATGCTAAAACACCACAGAAATATTGTGTCTATAAACAATGCTAAAACACAACAGAAATATTGTGTCTACAAACAAATCTAAAACACCCCAGCAATATTGTATCTATAAACAATGCTAAAACACCACAGTAATATTGTATCTATAAACAATGCTAAAATAAACCTCATGGAGATCTAAGGAGACCAATATCCAAGAACTAGAACAGGCCAATAATTAAAGTTTTAAACAAGTAAAGAACCTTTTTGATGGCATTGGCACATTTTTATAGACCAATCAGCATTCGGTGAATGATGTGGTCAATATCTTGCCGGCCAACAAGAAGCTAATACCAAAAGACCTGATTTCTCACATCAGGATAGTGTCGAGATGACTGCCTGTCAGCCTGAAGATCTTGAATTCAAATCCGCATTGAAGGGGATTTTTAAAAAGGACTCTAAGTTCTCAAGCTGACCCAGCCTTAAATGGATACCAGGAAATGTCCTAGGACTGTGATTTTGAAACTGTGCACCGAGGCGGCCCAGGGCGCTGCAACCTCTTCACAGGGGCGCCGTGAACTATTCGAAGATCCACAAGTTTTATTTTTTGTATCTCTTAAATATGAATAGTCATACTTTAACTTAGCTTAGGGTGCCGCGGACAAATTTTAATTTAAAAATTTGCAGTGACTAAGAAAAGTTTAGGAAACACTGTCCTAGGAGGAAATAAAAATGGCAAGCATAAGGTTTAACCGTTTAAACTCCATTTACTTCCCAGGACTGCACTTGGTACAAACTTAAGGCTGGGTCGACCTGGGAGCCAAGTTCATTGAAAAAAAAAATCCGGCTCCACCAGAGGGCGAACCCATGTCCTTCAGATCCGCAGGAGAGCGTCTAGCCACTACGACACAGCAACTCCCAATGGTTGTAGTAGGAAGTGAAAAAATATTTTTTTTAAACATAACGTTGAGAATTATGTACATTAACAAATACTTACATTTGATTCTTCACGTTGCAGTAAGTCAACACTCGATTTTACTACCTAAAAAATGCAACATATTTGAGTCAGCAGTTTAACAACACAAGTGTATGTTATCTTTTCCCCGCATGTAAAGGATAGTTTCAAATTCACTGCATCACACCGCCATGTTTCCCAGAAAATAAGATCTAACCTGAAAACAGGTCTTAATATGATGCAAGGATGCTAGTAATATAAGCCCTACCTCAAACATAAGGCCTAGTGATGACCTTCAGCCAGACGAGCAGATTTGGTATTTAATTATAAAGTAATGAATGTATAAATAATATAAATAAATAATATTACTGACACTGATGCTTTCAATAAATGGTAATATAAATTTTTATTACATATTTTTAATACAAAGACGTATAAAACAAAAAAATAAAGACATACCCGAAAATAAGATTAAGGCAACTTTTGTAGCAAAATATAATTTAAGTCAGGGCCTTATTTTCGGGAGAACATGGTATTATAACTCAATAAAAAATATGAAAGATCGGTTAGTTCGACATAAGTCTCCCCAAATAGAGTAGGTCACATTCCATTTACAAGTTTGTTGGGCTGGTTGACTTTCCTGAAGGTTATGGGTGTGTCCCACTTTGTTTTTTGTTTTGTTTCTGCTGTCTCGCATTTACGTTTTCATTCCGAGAAAGAGAATGCCTGTGACACAGGTTGTAGCATTCTCTAAGGAAGTTATGTCAGACTCAGTTTCTCCATGTTTTTGAAGTGTTAAAAGCACTGGATGCTGAAAGATACAACATGCAATATCAACGGCATTGCGGTACACCTTGTAACCATGTGCAAAGGTCACTGGGTCTGGGGAGACTAACGCCGAACTAACCGAAAGATCTTTTTCCGCACCTTTAGGTGGTTATATGGTAAAAGTAAAAAGTAAAGATCCCTTTTCACGCCTTTAGACGTATTGGGTATACGGGAAGAGCACCCATATTTTTACAGACCGTCAGCACTAGGTGGGTAATATGGTCAGCATTACGCCAGCCATCTTTACTTCACCAGGACAGCCATCCTGGTACCATTTTAGGCTGGGTCGACCTGCGACGCCCCATACCATGATAAAAATCCACGCAGCCAGCAGTGGGTTTCGATGGCGGCACGCTGGAATTACGAGTCAGACTCGCAACGCCTAAGCCATGGACGCCGCTGGTTATATGGCAATGGTCCCATATTTTTTAAGAGCAAATAAGCTCATTAATCAATTAATCAATATTATGCTAGCCATTTTTACTACCTAAAACATTTAATATTTCTGTAAACATTTATTACTACTCTTGGATTCTTCTTCTTTACGTCCTCTTTTACCGCTTCGGGTGTCAGGCAAGCTATAAAGTCATGCTTCGTGCTCTTCTGGCTGCTTCGACCATAGACACATCGTGGTGCTGTAGAGTTTCTCTGATGTTATCTTCCTATCTTGTTCTCCGTCTACCTCTTGCTCTACATCCCTCTCCTCTTCTGGTACTTTCTTTTAAGGTTTATTTCATATGTTTACCTAAATTCATAAAAATAATTAGAACTAAGGATTAAAAAATGCTATTAAATAAAAGTTTCTGGAAGATAATTCTGTCCACAGAATTAAATAAGTCAGACTGAATCTGCCTGAGAGGCAAGGAACCAACAGTCTGCACACAAAGGAGAGACTTTCACGCAGGCTGTGAAGAGAGTGACATTTTGTAAAGGACAAGCCTAATGAGAGATTGAAAAAACTCAGAAGACAATTCATTGCAGTAAATAACTTGAAAGGCACAATGCCTATCAACTACATGCCCAAGGTCAGGTAAATGACACCTACTGAAGAATTAGGGTGTCATTTATTTGACACCGGGCTTCCGAGTTAATTACTACAAGGGAATGTGTTTTTCAAGTTATTTCAATCAATCATTCTGCATGTCCTTCACTCATGGCACGTCTGAAGATTCTCCAGCCCTGTGTGCTTTCATAGCCAATACAGCTTCAGTGTCCTGTATCTACCTTCATAGATGTAAGTCTCTTTTCCAGAAAATGCACACTCCATCACTGTTCTCTCCAAACCACCACAGCGCTTGACATGTCCAAAATACCTAACCCTACTACACAATAAATAGGCATTTACTGAAACTAATGGAAGGCTTGACAAATGCTTGATCTTTATATGCCTGTGGAATCTGCATTCAACTGTGTGTGGAGCCACTCAGAAATGTGTTCTTCTATACTGTTACCAAGTTGTCCCTCTGTCTGATCACTTAAAAGTTAACCCACACATTTAAACTGGTATATGCAGCTGAATGTGGTGTACCAAACAGCGATTATCTAACAGGTGTCTGTGTGGTCTTATATCTAAACACTGAAAAGTGATAAAGAACGCTCAGCCAATATTATTTTTAGTCAGTCCTACAAACCTCTTTATGTTTATTAAATAAATATATATATTGTGATAGCAAATATAAGAATAATATTGTAATTTTTATCCTTCTTTCACAAGGTCAAAGGATAAAGGCAACACACACACACAAAGATAGAGAAAAATCAGAAGTGAAAAAGATGGGGATGACATGAGGTGATCTTGAGTTGCATGCGATGACAATAGATATGACGACTTAGACTGGGTTGATTGAGGCCTATGCTCCATTGGTGATAAAGGGCACAAGAATTTATGTTTGATTTAAGTTGAAAAATGTTAAAAAACAAAAGCAGCGGTATTATCATGGAAACTATTAAATAATGTATATTATAATGTGTGACAATTGTACTTACTTCTTTATCTTTATCAATTCCACACAGTCGAGCAGTCAATGATTTTCTGTGGGACACTTTCTGCTTCTGCTGAAAAATGTTACAAACAATTTTTTTTTACGTGCAATAAAATATGATGACAAAGTGTCATAGGCAAAACAGGTGCAAGAATGTAACAGACATAGACACAGGAATGACACATTTCTGCTAACATTTAAAAAAAAAAAACAGTTTTTTAGCTGACAAAATGGACCCTGTTCTCTGCCTTTAGGTGCCTTGGGTACAGAGTGCTGCAGATACATTTTAAGTGCTACAGATACATTTCAAGCGCTGCAGATACATCTCAAGCGCTGCAGATACATCTCAAGCGCTGCAGATACGTCTCAAGTGCTGCAGATACATTTCAAGTGCTGCAGATACATTTCAAGTGCTGCAGATACATTTCAAGTGCTGCAGATACATCTTAACAGCCAACTGACACTTGACAAGTCAATTTCTTATTCTGTGTCATACGAAAATGTAAAATGGATTGTGCCAATTTACAACATGACTGCAATATTTGAGCCTTTCGGCTGACATATTCAACTACTGCAGGCATGTGTTGCCCAGGGTTAGCCTTCCCAGTGACAAGTCAATATAATCTCATCCACTTTTACTTCCACAACATTTTCTGTTCCCATCTGAAGAGGAATGGCTAACTCAATGGTTAAGAATGCTAAGATCTAAACTGGAAGACTCGGGTTCAAATCCTCTGCTTCTTCTTTGCGTTTCCAGGCTGTAAACTCTGGTGGAAAGTCCTGGTTGTTCATCCACGTCCAGATTTTAGTCTTGTTCCAGAAATTAAGATTTGCATGCATATCGATTTTACAGATCTGGCTTATCTGTATGCAGACTGTTGGTTCATCACCTCTCAAGCAGATGTCCTCTGACTTCAAAGGAGGTGCCCCTAGTTAGCTGACTTTACAGCTTGCTTCTTAGAACAACAGTGGGCGAATTTTTTGTTTTCTACAATAGGGCCGCAGAATGCACAGGGAAAAAGGTGAGGGATTTTTGTTGTTGCTGAAGGCTAAAGTAAAATCCTAACATGCATAGTTCATGGCGACTGCACTAGCCATGTGGTCCTAAATCCTCAGGCACAAGACCAACTTTTTCTTCACCACCCTGAAAAGTGGTAAAAACAGGCAGTAATCTTCTTCTTCTTCTTCGTGTTCACCAGCTGTTCACTCTGGCGGAAAAGTTCTGGTTGTTCGTCCAGTTCTGAACTGCAGTTCTGCTCCAGAACCTGAGTGTTGTGTGTGCATCAGTTTTACAGATCTGATTCACTTGAATGCAGACTGTTGGTTCCTTGCCTCTCAGGCAGATGCACTCCAACTTCAAAGGAAGCTTCCCAATTAGTCGACTCTTACGACTTGCTTTTGGGTAGGCAGTGGGTCTATTCTTGTTTTCCCCACAATGGGGCCCCGGAACCCACACGGGGAACAGGCAGTAATGAAGGTAGTTTCTCCATACATGTCATCTTCATTAAAAAAAATTTCTTCAAAAGTTGGAAGCCAAATATCCTGTAATTTTGCACATCAACTGCTGGTGAACATCATGAAAGGTTGGCTAGCATTGTTCCATCTATTGAGACAATAGTGTTAAACTGTTCTATAGGGAGGCATGGGATTACAGCTGAAGGCAGGTGTGATTAGCAAGAACCACATGTGTCTAAAAAGTCTTCCATAATTAGAGCATGGGATTTCACGAACACTCTTGCCATCATAGGTATTCAACATGCTTCTCAGATACTCAGCTAAACAACATCCAGGTTAAGAATGGAGATGGAGGCGGTCACTGCAGCTTTCCGCTGGCTAGGGAAAAAAAAAACATGCACGCACACAGACTGTGATTCTAACTGACTCAGAAAGAGAGCTGAGAAGGGTGGCCCCAGGCATGCTTCGCTTCGGAGTTCACGGGTGAAGAGCGTTGTCTGGATATTTTCTCCGGGTATGCAGGTGTGTTGGGACATGAACAGGCTGACTGACTGGCTGGCTCTGCACAACTTGGTGGTGGAACACTGATGCATGATATGGCAGACGCGGTTAGGGCCTTGTGGCAGCATGTGTGCAATTCAGAGCAGTAAACTGATCATCACAGTCTGGGGATAGTGATGCAGGGAGGAGTGGCAAGGGGCTCTGACTGATACTAGATGCTTAGAGGAAAGGCAAGACAGACATATAATCAGACTGCTACTGGCACCACTAGCTGTTGAAGATAGGGATGGAGCGTTTATGGGAATGCCCCGAGTGATGTGGTGTCAGTTCTTAAATTAAATCAGAGACAGCTCATAGTACCTGCAATCATTTTTTCCTTTATACATATTCCCTTCCTGATTCTCTCACTCCATATAATCCATTTCAACACCTGTATAAATCATGTCCTGCTTGAACACTTTTTTTTATATCATAGTAGAGGATGACTTTTGACATCTACCCATATGTAATTTTAATAAAAAGGATGCCTTTAGGGACTCTACCATACTCGAGGTGTATACTTGTATCTATGAAGACTGAGCACTGAGAGAAAGGAGTATTATGATCATGAAGGGTAACGAGATGTAAAAAATATGAAATTGAAATAATCCTGGTTCCTTATGTGGGTTCCAGGGCCACACTGTGGGGTAAAGGATATACCCACTGCCTCCCCAGCAAGCACATCGGAAGAGTCGACTAACTGGGGGCTGCCTTCGAAGTAGGAATGCATCTGATGGAGAGGTACAGAGCCAACTATCTGCATACAAATAAGTCAGATCTGTAAAACAGACGTGCACGCAACACTCAGGTTCTGGAACCAGACTAAAGTCCAGAGGTGGAAGAAGAACCAGAAGTTTCTGCTGGAGTTTACAGTCGGTAAACGCAAAGGAAAAAAAAAAAGAAAGAAATAGAAAATGTGAAATATAAATACCTTTACACTTGTTATTTGCTTTTTGCATGGTCTTTTTTTAAAAACGGCCTCTCCATTATGAAACGCTCTTATATGCTGAGTCAAATTTTTCTTGTACAGATACAGACGACCACAGTTTTCCCGTGGACATGCAATTGGTTTCTGCGAGACAGAATGTATCTTGATGTGCTGCTTCCAGTTTGACTTCTGTTTAAATACAGCTCGGCAAACGGTACATGAATGAGCTAGAAACAACAAGACAGAATAACTTCTTATACAAAAATATGCCTTGGTTGTATTTAAACACAATTTTTTTTTAGATATGCATCACTAGCTATTTACATGAAAACATGTGCCTTTATTCTTACTGTCAAACTGCTGTGACATCAAATGTCAGGGAAAATGCAGTTCCAGAGAAAAATAAAAAGAATACTGTGTTAGATGTGTCTCTGTGTAAGGGTATGCTCAGGCACCTTGCACTTCAGCCGGCAGTGTTGAGGTTGGCTAGCTTCTCTTCAGAGAAGCAGTACATGGTCTTTGAGAAGATGAGAATAATTTTCTAAGAGCCAAAATGGATGTTTCGTAAGCTATAAATCATGTAGGTTTAACACTACCCAAGTGTGTTCGGGGTCTCAATTCTGGGGAGGAAAAGAACAGACCCACTGCTCCAGAACAAAGATGCTGTAAAAGGCCACTGATTAAATGAAAAGTGAAAATTAAGTAGCCTGCAAACGACCCATAGAGCACCCAAGTCAACCCCACCTTCTTGTGGTGCATGCTGGAAAACTGAAGCCACAGGGTTTCAGGCTAATGGGACAATGGCGCACCTGAAAGGAGACGGGCACCAACCAGGTCACATTTTTCCACCTAGTGCCAGGCAAAATGTCAGTGGTGTAATCAACTGCTACTGAACAAGAAATAATTCTGAATTACAGGACAGACTCTTGAGGATCAAAAGGTAAAAAAAAAAAGTTAAAGTTGGGAGATGTGAACCAGCGTCATTGAACACGGTTATAAACCCTAAGTGCTCGGCCACCAGCACAGACAGCTGATAAGAAACTGTCCGCCTGTGTCGCCGTCAGCACGCAACTCCGTAGCTACAGCGACTTTCCTCTATTTATCCCAGAGTGTTAACTCTAGTACCCATTACCTAGAGGCAGGATAAACCACGGGAACCGCCCGGTTTCAAACACCGGCTGTGTGCTGCAGCGAGTCGCAGCTGGATTTCAAAGCGAGTCTTCTATCAACTGCGCTAACGTGGCCCCTACGACTCTTGAGGATAAAGAACCGGCAACGATTATCAGGGCACTGGAACAGAAAATTACATGTGAAGTGCACCGTCTCCATAAGGTCACTAACAAGACAAGAAGGAACAGGATTACAAATACCAACACTGGAGAGAAAGTTAACAAAGAAAGAAGTGGTGTGAGAATGCAGCTAGACCAAACTGCGTACAAGACTTTTACACAAAACATCTGGAAGAAAGGCGAATGGAAGACCAAGAAAGAAGGATAAATGGTGTAGCTAAAACCTGCAAAAAAAAATGAACAAATCTACCATTGAAGCCACCTGAGAAGCACAAGACAATTACAGAAAACCTTGACATTGGGCTACAACCTAGTATCAGTAAGACGACAAAAAAAAAAGAAAATGAAAATACATATCTGTTACTTGATGTTAGAAACCAACCAAAGCATTTTGTGGCCTTGATGTTCCTTTAAAAAAAATTCATAAGAATATTAGTAGACAGAGGAGGTCCTCCTAGAGACAGAAGAAATACTGTAATGGGGGTCCTCCAAGAGACAGATGAAATACTGTAATGGGGGTCCTCCTAGAGACAGATGAAATACTGTAATGGAGGTCCTCCAAGAGACAGATGAAATACTGTAATGGGGGTCCTCCTAGAGACAGAAGAAATACTGTAATGGGGGTCCTCCAAGAGACAGATGAAATACTGTAATGGGGGTCTTCCTAGAGACAGATGAAATACTGTAATGGGGGTCTTCCTAGAGACAGATGAAATACTGTAATGGGGGTCCTCCAAGAGACAGATGAAACACTGTAATGGAGGTCCTCCAAGAGACAGATGAAATACTGTAATGGGGGTCCTCCAAGAGACAGATGAAATACTGTAATGGGGGTCCTCCAAGAGACAGATGAAATACTGTAATGGAGGTCCTCCAAGAGACAGATGAAATACTGTAATGGAGGTCCTCCAAGAGACAGATGAAATACTGTAATGGGGGTCTTCCTAGAGACAGAAGAAATACTGTAATGGGGGTCCTCCTAGAGACAGAAGAAACACTGTAATGGGGGTCCTCCTAGAGACAGATGAAATACTGTAATGGGGGTCCTCCAAGAGACAGAAGAAATACTGTAATGGAGGTCCTCCTAGAGACAGATGAAATACTGTAATGGAGGTCCTCCAAGAGACAGATGAAATGCTGTAATGGAGGTCCTCCTAGAGACAGATGAAATACTGTAATGGAGGTCCTCCAAGAGACAGATGAAATACTGTAATGGGGGTCCTCCTAGAGACAGATGAAATACTGTAATGGAGGTCCTCCAAGAGACAGATGAAATACTGTAATGGGGGTCCTCCAAGAGACAGATGAAATACTGTAATGGGGGTCCTCCAAGAGACAGATGAAATACTGTAATGGAGGTCCTCCTAGAGACAGATGAAATACTGTAATGGATGTCCTCCAAGAGACAGATGAAATACTGTAATTGGGGTCCTCCAAGAGACAGATGAAATACTGTAATGGAGGTCCTCCAAGAGACAGATGAAATACTGTAATGGAGGTCCTCCTAGAGACAGATGAAATACTGTAATGGAGGTCCTCCAAGAGACAGATGAAATACTGTAATGGAGGTCCTCCTAGAGACAGAAGAAATACTGTAATGGAGGTCCTCCAAGAGACAGATGAAATACTGTAATGGGGGTCCTCCAAGAGACAGATGAAATACTGTAATGGAGGTCCTCCTAGAGACAGATGAAATACTGTAATGGAGGTCCTCCAAGAGACAGAAGAAATACTGTAATGGAGGTCCTCCTAGAGACAGATGAAATGCAGCAATGGGGTTGGGGGGTGTAACACCAAGAGACAGAAGACCCACCCACCCAAAACTGTGAGGACTGTGTGAGATGGACACCATGATGCTGCCTAGCTTACTATCATGACATATGATAATGTAGTGACAATATTGGTGATGATGATGGCAGCCATGGTGAAAATAATAAGAATGATGTTGATGATAGTAGTAATTTAAGTGAATATATACAGTGTTTAAAAATATAAGATAACCCTTTAGCCATTGGTGTCATGGAGGTGTATAGATGGAAGCACTAGCACGGATAACAAGCTATCTTTCTCTGTCTTCCCTTTATTGAAAAAGTGTACAGTAATTTAGCCCTGTCCATTTCTTGATGTCATTCCGGTTTCTTCTTTCCTTCGCTCTTCTCAGTGTTCCTGAAGTACTGAAAAATACAGCAATTTTTAAGACACCAAAAACCACAGACAATGTAGAACTGCAGCCCTCTCAATATAAATAATGAGCACTAAATAATCACGAGATGCAATGTTGTCTGGCAAGTTTATCTGACCTATGCTCAGTTAAAATAAACTTAGGATACCAAGGTAGCAGAGTGCCTGGTCGCTCACCTGCTGACCAAATGGTTTTGGGTTCAAATCCGTATTGTCAGATTTTCAAAAAGGGTGACACTGACTCTCAGGTCGCTTCAGTCTAAAATAAGTACCAGGTAATGTCCTGAGAAGGAAAGTCAGCCTGCATGATGCTAACCACATCACCCATCAAGGGCAGGCTGGCCTATAAATTGGTCTAACGTCATATGTCCTTACTTACTAGTCTGCCAAGCATCGAAATACATTTGTTCCTGCAGTAAAGCAATGAACATCTGGAGGTGACAGTTCTAATCCCCGTTTGGGTTCCAGGGTCCCATGGAAGGGGGGGGGGAGTTATACCTACTGCACCCCCCCCCCCCCTCTTCGTTTCCAACACCCACTAACATTATAAAAAGCAATATTATTTAAGAGTTCTGGAATTCAGAGGTATAGATATAGTAAGCCAACTCTAAGCCATAGCACAGCATGCCAACTGCTCGTTTGAGTGTGAACTAGAAGATGAAGAAGATACTTTTGATTGTTATGTTGTTTAGTGTGCACTGATATTTCTACTTCTTTCTTCTACACCTATCAGGACCAATCAATATAGGTCACTTTGTTTATCTTACTGAGCCGTGTGCTGGTTTAAAATTACACTGAGAAAAGCATCATTACTTGGTGCATGATCCACGGCTCTGTGCTTCCTTAGTGCCGACCAGTTGGGTAGTATTTGAGCACAGCCTTCAACACTGCATGCATATCCTGGAACAGAAGTGTAAAAAGATAAAACACTGTAAATAGGATTTCAAAGCTCAAGTTTATTGCATGTCTTTTTCAGGAGTTTTACAAACCAACTTCACCATTTCCAGGCTGTTGTGTGGTTTTACAAGTTTACATTCAGTAGTTTGTCAATGCAGAAGGGTATTAGAGGGTGAAGTTGAAAAGATGGCAGGACATGGGGTGAACTACACAGGACAGCAAACAAGGAGAACTTGGTTTGTAAAATAAATAGTAGAAGAGGAAGAAGTCTGTCAATGTTTACTGAATTCTATGACACTCATTATGTGTGAATGTCAATTCAAAGAAGTCTGTCATTGTTTTCTGAATTCTATGACACTCATTATGTGTGAATGTCAATTCAAAGCAGTCTGGATGAATCGGTTAAAATGAACCTTATTTTTCACTAATTAGTCATTTTTAAAGATATTTTTTAACAAGTCATATTTCACAGAAACAGAAATAAAGAGGTTTTGGAGAGGAGTCTTCCAATTTCCAATTACTCAGTTTGAAAGTGATAACAGAAACAAATCTATGTGGGCTCTGTTACTCCACTGGGGTGAAGGGTTGGAGGTGGGGTTTTTACAAACTGCATCTTAACATACATGTCGTAAAAAGATAGCTGTTAAGGGTTTGTTGACACTGGATGTATTGGGCCGAAAAGCATAGCTTTTACAGACTAGCTGTAAACTATTATATGTGTCAACCACCTAGTAGGGCAAACACATACAAAGAAGAAAAAGCAATTTGGAACAGGAATGGTTGCTGAGAACCTGTATCATCATAAGAATGATAATGGGCTGCGAAGAGTACACAATTCAGCAATTCTGGGATCACCAACAAACAAAAGTTTATGAAGTTATAATTGGTCAGAATTCTTCACTTCAACACCTCAGACAAGAGATGTTATTAAATTTTGTGCCATCATCACAGTGGACGCAGGTCACAGTGTTTCCATTGAAAAGAAAGAGACAAATGAAAAATTTCACTCACACTAAAAAAACCAAAATGCTTTTCTCAAAACCATACTGAAGGGAAAAGTTGAAGACACTTTAAGTAAGGGTAGACGGCAACTGAGCCCATAACCAAAACAAAAATAGATGACCAGCGTTCTGAGAGAATCATGGCAAGACACAGTCTTGGAGATCCAATGCAGCCAATCATCATTGTGGACAGAGAAACTTTATGTATATATGTATGTATCTGTGTACGCACGCATCAATATATTAACGCAAGAATGACCCATCTTTCTGTATATCAAGTCCTATTATAAATAATTTTTCTTTTGAATTTTTCTATAAACTGGCAGCCAATGCGCCTAAAGGTATGAAAAGGGATCTTTACTTTTTACTTACTTTATAAACTGGCAGAATGCTACATCACTAAATAAATTCTTTTGTTCCGCCTAATTTCTAATAATTTAAGCTTTCCTGCTGACATGATCTTTCTCTAATTCTTTATCCTCTTAACAAAATTAGCAACTTTCAGGAAATGGAGTATGAATTTAAGACACGCAGTTTCCTTGTTCTTATTATTTTCCATGTTCTTATTATTACTCATATTTTAAAAGCAGTACATGGTCTTTGAGAAGATGAGAATAATTTTCTAAGAGCCAAAATCATGTAGGTTTAACAGTACCCAAGTGTGTTCGGGGTCTCAATTCTGGGGAGGAAACGAACAGACCCACTGCTCCAGAACAAAGATGCTGTAAAAGGCCACTGATTAAATTTGCTGAAATTGGATGTGCTGGGCTGAAAAGTACCGATACCAAAACCTAGTTGTGAACCAAGTAATAACTGCAAATTGAGTAAATGTATTTGAAGAAAGAGAAGAAAAAAGCAAACTAACCTTGTAAGCCACAAGTCATGAAAACTTAACAAATGCATCTTGTAAGCCATAAATAATGCAGGCTTAACATAACTAATATTTACAAATACAGCTCATTACCTTGATGAACTTTCATATGATGCTTCAATTGTCTTGGAAAAGGGAAAGACTTTCTACATCCTTCATGGGGGCAGCTGAAAAGGAATAAATAAACCTGCTTCTGACACAGTGATAGAGTACATACACTAAACTGAGCTCTTATGGGATATTTAACTCTTTTCTGTCTGTACTTAGCAAGTGTTTCTGCAACCCGGCTGCCTGTATTTCTTAAACATCACCATCGCCATCTTGCTGTGCCAACAGACATGGTCTAATCCTTCATTCTATTCTATGCAAACCTTTTGATATCATGGATGTATCTGGTCTGGGGCCCTTGTCTTCTCTTAACAACCTTTGTCTCAAGGCTTTTCTTGGACGTTCTTGTTTACTTAATCCATTTGTTTTCTTTTTAGTGCTTGTCTGGTAATTCTCAGTTCACCTCTCCTTATTTTGTGCCAAATATACAGCTATCTTCTTTATCATATAAATAATGATACATACAAACATTTCTCTTACTTCTTCATCTGTCTTCAATTCATCCTATTTAATGTTCATAAATTTTCTTGGGCATTTGTTTTCAAATGCATTTAACTTTCGTCCCATGTCTTTAGTGGTTCTCCAACCTTCACTGGCATATGATTAAGGTGAAATAACCCTGGAATGATACTCAAACCTTCACTGGCATATGTTAAAAGTGAAATAACCCTGGAATGAAATATACATAATCTGGTTTTAAAACTATATAATTTATAGTTCCATATTTTGTTCAAACTATCTTGAACAGACCAAGAAATAAATACAAATGACTCAAATAATTCTACTTACGGGTAACATTTTCTGGCCTGGATAAGATGATCTGAGTGCTGTTTTTGCTTATGGATAACTAGTTGTTTTTTCTTGTAAAAACTTTCATTGCATCCTTCTTCAGTGCACTTAAAAAAAAAGACAAAATGTAATTTGTAATAAATAAAATCTCTGAATTACAGACTGAGGAGCACAAAGAGAGAGATAAGAAGAGAGGGTTGAGAGAGGAAAGTAGAGACAAGGGGGTGAGGGACATAAGCAGTGACAGGCAGACACAGAGAAAGAGAAAGCAAATTATAACCTGTAATAACTGACCCGTCGGCTCTGTGGCTAAGTAGGTGCTAACGCTTTGTAATGCAGGGGTGCCGGATTAGATCCCAGCCGCGGGCCATGTGCCTTGCGTTGGTTTCAACAGTGGTATCAAGAAGTCAACCGTCCAGAAAGCAATGGCAAACTACTGGATGTAAATTTGCCTAGAGAAGCCACACAACAGCCAGGGGCTGCTGGGGTTGGTTCTGCAATGTCCTGTAAAGGATAGGCAACTAACCAAATAACTGACCTAGTGAACATAGTATGTACAGATGAAGTGACTACTGTTCTTGTGAATCCATCAGAACACAATATTCTATCCCTGGGAGTTTTCTAGAGAAGCTTGATATTTTTTTCATAATCTACACCAGGGTGGCCCGCGGGAAATATCTGGCTGATAAAGGTTTAGCAAGTGGCCAGCGGATCATTAAAATTGTTGTTCTTCTTCTTCGCGTTCACCAGCTGTAAACTCTGGTGGAAAGTTCTGGTTGTTCATCCACTTCCAACTGCAGTCCTGTTCCAGAACCTGAATGTCTCATGTGCATCCATTTTACAGATCTGACTTATCTGTATGCAAACTGCTGGTTTCTTGCCGCTCAGGCACATGCACTCCAACTTCGAAGGAAGCTCTCAATTAGTCGACTCTTAAGACATGGTTTTGGGTAGGCAGTGGCTCTATTCTTATTTTCCCTACAATAGGGCCCCAAAACCCACACAGGGAATTTTTTTTCTATTAGTGGTCTTTGTATGCTAGAACTTGGGTCTGGCCCGTGACGATACTCATTTCATTGGTCCCCTGAGTACACTTCGTTGAACTGCCCTGCTGTGGACAAAAGGATTTCTTCCTTTCACACTCATCATCCTCGTGCAGCAAGTCCTTTACAGAATTTCACTCCCATCACTGCCTGCCTGAAAGAAGCTCAGTGTCTTGTCTCATACCTGGTACCACTTCTTGTCCCACTACTGCCAGCAATTATGGGTGGGTAATACAATCATCGATTCCCCACTACTATAAGAAAATAGCAAGCACAGTGGCACTTTCTATAACAGAACGTTTCAAAATTCAAACAACTTGAAAAAAAATTTCAAGTAAATTTTGCCCCAGAACTTGAACGCCGCCTTGGAGACTGAATACCTGGCACGTGTCAGCCAAGCACCACCACACAGCCCCTACCTACACTTCTGTTCGTTTTCATGACTCTGCTTATCAGTTCATACAATTTTTGCAGCTAATTTTATGAATGTAAAACATGTAGTGAATTAGTTACAGTTGCTTTAAAGTGGAAGTGTTGCACAACAAAGTCAGAGAAATGAAAAGCTGTCAAAGCAACAATTGAAGTTTAAAAAGACCTTGCTGCTTGCATCAAAGTGAATGTAACTGTGTTACCACGTTTTATATGCTCAAATCAACTGTTTATGCATATACTGGAAAAAAAAGCAGCTATAAACTGTAACACTTGAGTATGTTGGACCCCGGAACCGATTAATTTAGTTTACCTTATTTCTTTTTCAATGGGAAAAATTGCCTTGGAACTTTAGCGATTCGGAATTCGATGGCAGTCTCAGAACGGATTATCTTCTAATTCAGAGGTACCCCTGTAATGGCGTGACAATACTGTCTCCTCACTAATGTAAGGAAATAACAAGCAGTGGAAAGAAGAATACTGTCTCCATACTACTTACACCAAGTATTGGCAGGGAGAATGTATCAACTAATCCAATATAAGGACAGCTCTCTGATGGACCACACATAGACGACCTAAGGAAACCTGCAGCAGGACAGTAGAAGGGCAAATGCAGCAGACCAACAGCAATAAAGATCACTTGTGGATGCCATATGTGTTTATACACATAACTCCCTTTGTGCCCCCCCCCCCCCCCCTCACCTTTTCCCCAACAAGCATGATGTAAGAGCCGACCAATTAGGCGTGTTTCCTTCAAAGTCGGAGTGCATCTGCCTGACAGGCGAGGGACCAACAGTCTGCACACAAAAAAGCCAGATCTATAAAATGGACATGCATGCAAAACTTAAGTTCTGGAACAAGACTGAGGTCCAGAAAGGGACTTCGCCTAATGCTTTAAAATTATACAAATATACTTTAAAAAATCATACAGACTAAATAAAGGTGGATAAAAAACTCGCCTTGTATGGTTTGTGTGCCTCATGACATTTCATGTGTTTTTTAAGGCAATCAGAGTTGGCTAATTCCAGACTGCAGCTTGGGCATCTAGAAGATCATATCTGACTGATTATTCTCAAGCATAATTAAAAACTAAAAATGCAATTAGATAGTATCTCTCTATAAACATGAGTAGCAATCATCATTAAGTGCCTTGCTAAGCGGCATAAGTAATCATGCCTTTCCACAACTTACGACCTTCGACATTATGTATCTGTTTGTGTGCTGAAACTCTTTCCTGCCATGATAAAAGGCTGTCAAGAATCTAATTAGGATGTCTTCTGCTATCTCTCTTTCCATAAATCTTCTCAGCAGTCACATGTTCCAACCTTCTTTCTTTTCATAACCTGACTAAACATCATAGTCTGCCTGTTTCTGATGTTTGTGATAAGTTGTCCACAAGTCTTTGTCTCTTTCAAAACATCTGGATTACTCATTCTGGGCGTCCAAGAAATTGTCAGCACTTTTCTGTAAAACCACACCTCTCTTGCAATAGGCTTGTCATATACGTAATCCGTCTCAACTCTTTGAGTCCCAGAAGGTTTAGCATCACAGGCCCAAGGAGTAGTCAAGAGACACGTAAAATTGGCGCATCATGCTTCTAGATAGTAGCCTATGAACGTATGATGCATTCCTAGAGACTGAAAGAGTTAAGTGTCTGAAAGAAGATAATTTGATCGATACAAATAACCCTCTCAATGTGACTTGAACAAGATTTAAAGAGTACAAGAGTTGTTTTTTCTCTCTTTTATTCCAATACAATATTTGATGTGCGCATGGCTCTTTCTCCTTTTTTTTCAGCATTTCAAGCCCTTAATGTTCATTCTGCAGATATTACCCACCTCCAATCATTTCTGTGATTGGCCCTCTGTTTCCATGTGTTGACCCCAGACATTTGTAGGTCAGCAAGTACATTTTGTTTCCACCATCTTCTTGGTCTGTCTTGAGGCCTTCTCCTATTCAACTATTAATTAATTAATTAGTTAATCGACAGATTACCCTCACTGCACAAGAGACAAGTCTATAAGCGCTCGGATCCCATCTTCATCTTCTTTCATTCAACTCTTATACCAACGCAGATTTTTAAATTTCTCTGTTACCTGCCATTATTTCTGTATGTGCCAACTACTGCAGTCTATAGTCCTCATGATGCCAGTAATTAGTGTGGATTTAAATCATGAATTCTGTTATTGCTTCTCAATCTCTAGAGAAAGGGTTTTTAAATGCAGTCTTCGACATTTACCAGTGTTCAATTCCCACAACTGTTCAGGCACAGATACAAAAGTCGCACCCAGGAAGAGACTGGCGTCATATCGTGAAATATTCTCATTGTTATCCGTGGATGTATTACAGCCAATGATGGCAAATGATTTTCCTCACTCTCCATTCTCTGTTATCAGCATCTTTGATCGGACCTATGGAACTAAAGAGGACCTTCAAAATTGTATCACAAGAGATTTTTTTGTGCAAATCAAGAAAATGGTCACAAGAAGAAGAAAAAAAAAAAGATTTGACCAAACACTATACACATGTATTCTTGCTTTGTTGGCTTTGTGACTAAGTTGATGCAAATGCTTTCGTAATGCCAGGATGCTGGGTTTGATCCCAGCTGAGGGACATGTGCCTTGCATTGGTTTCGACAGTGGTATCAGGGGGCAGACCGTCCAGAAAGCAATGGCAAACTACTGGACGTAAATTTGTCTAGAGAAACTACACAACAGCCAGGGGCTGCTGGGGTTGGTTCTGCAACGTCCTGTAAAGGATACGCAACTAACCTTATTCTTGCTTTAACAATTTATTGAAGACATATGACAACTCCAGGGTAGCTTCTGTTCTCTTTATATTCATACTAGGGCTGTACCGAATAGTGATTTTCACTATTCGGCCGAATACGAATAGTGCGACCAACTATTCGGCCGAATACGAATAGTGTATCATTATCATCAGGCGCCTTGCCGATTGGCGTTGGTGATTATACCCGGCACAACATGTGATCTCCTGCAGCATGCATCATCTTCTTCTTTAGCATTCTGAGGTTACTGCTGCAGATATCACTCGTCTCCATTCATCTCTCTGGCTGGCCTTCTCTTCACAATTTGTGACACCAGCTGTTTGCAGGTCTGGCTGGGCATTATCTCTCGAACTTCTTTTTTGTCTATCTCGTGGTCTACGCTAATTCATCTCTCAGGTGTATAAGTTTTTACGTCTCTGTCATCTGACATTCTTTCAATATGCCCCAACTATTTTAGTATGTTAGCTCTCGTAATGCCAGTGATCAAAGGTGATTTAAACAGATTATGTGTTACGTTGTTGCTTCTCACCCTCCATCCCCAGCTGTAAGCATCTTTGATGGGTCCAAAGATTTGTTGTAAGACTGTTTTCGAAAACATGTATTAAGGCCTCATCTCTTTTATTTCTGCTTCAAGTTTCAGAGCCATATAAAACGACTGGTCTGATCAATGTTTTATATATTTTGATCTTGGCGTTGCGAGACAGACACTTTGACTTTAGCAGATGTTGAAGGGCATCGTATACTTTATTTCTAGATTGTATTCTAGATTGTATTTCTTATCTCAGCATGTTGGAGCAGTTGAAGTTTGCACCCAAGTACTTATATGTTTCCGTTTGTTTGATTTTCAAATTATCGACTTGGATGTGGCCGGAGTTTATATTCTTTCCATGTCCATTTTATGTTTTGCATCCTTCAGTCAGTCTGTGGTAACTAATAACTAGGAATGAAAGAATCCTAAGTATTATAACAAGTAACTGAACTTGGAAATTGTCACTGACAGCTTAGTTAATGCAGGAAAGCTGCATTAGCTTTTAACAAAACCAATCGTTCCATGTTGTCAGCATTAAGGCGGTGCATGCAGAAGAGGGTGTAAGGTAACTACTATTCGTATACGGCCCAACTGCAACTATTCGGCCGAATACCGAATAGTCAACAGGACGGTCCACTAAGGCCCCGAAGCGAATACGAAGCGAATATTCGGTACAGCTCTAATTCATACATCACATGCAGTATATATATGTGTGTGTGTGTTTAACAAAAAAGTTAACAAAGTCTGTGTGAGTCCTTTCTAGAGTAAATGAGTTACAGCAAGTTGAAAAAAAAAACAGAAAAAAACCTAATTAAAATACAGTGTGCATCACCACAACAGAGGTTGGCTGCAAGTATTCAGTGCTGACTACGGGAATATTTATGTGGTGTGGCCATGATCTCTTCTAATGTGCCATTATTATACCACTGTCTGAAAGCCATAAGAATGGTACTTGTCTAAACCGCAGGTCTCCAACCCCGTAACGGTTGAGTACTGAAACATGAAATCACTTCACTAACCTCTAAGCCACAGAGCTGCACAATTTAAAAAAAAAAAAAAAATACAATTTGATCAACTGGCACCTTCACAATATCCTTTACAGTGGATTCAGAATATAGTAATCTCTTAAGAACAACTAAAAAGTGACAATCTGATTCATCAGCATCACTAAACATTCGAAAACGAAACTGGAACATTAAGACTTGTCAATGGTAGAAGCAGCAGCAGTAGCAGCTGCAGTAAGTTAGTCTACAGTATTATATTGCTTACACTGCTGAACACGGCACTGACACTCACTTGATTTTAATTGTGTTTTTAAAGCCAGGTGTATGAGACCTGTCAATGTGTCTTGTGAGGTGATGCTGCCTTGTATAAGAACTTGAACATCCATCATAATGACACAGAAATGGGCGCTACATGAATGCAAGCAGAATGAATGAATTTAATTATCATGCAACATATAGTGTATTCTTATATCATATTAGAGAGGCCAACACAAACAGCAGTACAACTACAAGAAAATATTAATAGACTCAGAATGTGATGACTATGGTATGAAGATCAACACAGACAAAATAGAAGTGATGACATTCTCTAGAAAAGGAAGAACTATTAATGTCAAAACTGATGAACACCAGTTTAAGCAGACAAAGGATTTTACATACCTTGGGAGCAATGTTTCAGAAGACGGAAAAATTAGTCAAGAAATCCAATAAAGCCAATCAAGTTTTAGGCCAAATGGCACCAATTCTAGGAGGAGTAGGAGTAGGAGGAGAAGAAGAAGAAGAGGTGTTGGGCTGGATTTCATGCATGATAAACAGAGAGCACAGGAAGCATGTCAAGGAGGAACTGATGCAAGCCTTGTGTGACACACAAACATCACAACTGAATGATTCCCACAGTGTGGCTTCTAGAGCCATTTTGGGTGGTTGGGCGAGGGAAGGGGGGGGGGGGGGGGGGCGCAGTGATACAACCACACAGCTCCCTTAACAAGCATGTCATAAAAGGTGACTAAACAGAGGATGTGTTGGGCCGAAAGAGCAGCTTAGCTGTAAGCCACCACAGCACAATGTGCCAGTCACCCTTTACCGATTGAACACAGAAGAAAACTGATGATGATGATGATGATATGCAATAATGAAAGGATTGCACAGAACAATGAAAGAGAGGACTTTTTTGTGAGCCCTGCATGCCATAACGGGACTGTGATAACTACAATGTTTACATTATAACCTGTGTTCCATGGAAGGGGGAAAGGACGAAATAACAAGCTCCCAACAAGTATGTCATGACAGCTGACTAATTATGGATATTTCCTTCAAAGTCAGACTGCATCTACCTGACAGGTGAGGAACCAATAGTCTGCACACAAATTAGCCAGAACATTAAAGCGGATATGCAAGCAAAACTTAGGTGCTGGAAGAAGACTAAAGTAAACAAGTGATGAAAAAGCACAACTTTCTGCTGGACCCAGAAAATTCTCTAAATAATGACAGATGTATGAAAAAACCGCTAAAATGATCATGGATTTAAAAAAAAAAAAAATAATTTAAATTCAGTAAGCATTTTAAGTTAATCACTTTTTAAAAAGTTCTAAAAATTCGACAATGATTGTTATGAATGGCATATCACCGCAGACGTATGGGAGACGTTTTAAATCAGATCATGAGAAGAGCAAACAAATTCATAAATCAATATTTTAATTCTTTGTAAAAGTTAAATGTGTACTTCACGCAACTAAATTACTAGCATGTAATGATTAAAAAAAATAATTTTTAAACATAAATGGGTCAAATGTCCATCTGGTGCAGAAATATTGGATTTGAAGCAAAAACAGTTCTTCTTCTCTTCCACCTTTTACCTCGTCCAAGTGATACCACTTAAATATTTTTTTAAACAATTTTTTATAAGCCGGTCCTCTCCACAGATCATGATCCCTGAAACAGCTCTCTTGATGATATTATTGATATCCCTTCATGCCATCGTTTCAGCCCATCCAGCATCATCTATCTTGGTCTGCCTCTACCCCTCTTTCCACTGATCTTTCCAGTTGTTGCGATATTTTCCAATGTCTCTTTTCTCATTATGTGGCCGGGGTCCAAGTGGAGCAATGATGCGCAATACAAGACTCTTAATGTCTATTAGCCTCTCTTGCTCAAGCCTACCTCACCTTCACGTGGTGGACCCTGTTCTTCCCAGCAATCCAGTTGAAGGTTGGGGTCTTAACCCCCAGCGGGAAACTGGATGGGACAACAAACGAGGTAAAGGCGAAGGGATGAGCCTACTCTCCCTCCCAAGAGATCCTGAAGTCGGAAATACTGGGCCAGAAGGCGGATCAAAAACCACAGTACTACGCAACCCCACGCTATATATATGTTTACACCGTCAGACAAATTTAATGTTGGTGCTCGCCCTGTGGAACTCCACCAGGCAGGTGCAGTGCCGGGTTCTGAGCCTCGACAGAATCCACCCCCAGCTACTGGAGGACCTCCTAGACCGTCTTGTGGAGTCAGGAGACGGCGGAGGATAGCTACTGACCAAAACCAGTTAGACAGAAAAGATCCCAAATTGCCTTTTGTCATTATGCACTGGAATGCAGAGGGGGTCAGCAGTAAGCAGGCTGGCTACAGCAAAAAGTTGGAGCTGGAAAACATCCTCTATGAAAAGCATGTCAGTGTATGCTGCATCCAAGAGACCCATTTGCAGGCAGATCAGATATTTAAAGTGAGAGGCTACCAGTGCTTCAGATCTGACAGACAAGGCAGGCGAAAAGGAGGAGTACTCACCCTTGTGAAAAAACAGTATCCATCCATGCGAGAAAATGTCTTATATGGATGGAGCTGAGTACCAACTCCTGCAGCTTAAGACAGACAAAGTGGAATTAGAACTCCTTAATTACTACTGTCCCAATGACAAATCGCTAAACCTCAGCTCTGTGCCAGTACCAAACACCAACTTTATTGCAGTTGGAGACTTCAACAGTCATTCACAGAGCTGGGGCTATAACCATCTCGACAATAGGGGTGAAGAGGTGGAAACATGGCAAGATGACCACTCTCTGATCCTGATAAATGCCCCCTCAGATACGCCTACCTTCTACTCCAGAAGGTGGCAGACAACGTCGACCCCAGATCTTGCCTTCTCTACCCCAGATATATCTGGAATGATAAGTAGAGAGGTGGGAGACCAGCTTGGGGGCAGTGACCATCGCCCGATTTTTCTCACTGTCCAGAATGTACCAGTTAATACAGGCCCAGTCATCACAAGATGGAACTACAAGAAAGCCAACTGGGGCCTGTACAGACACAGGACAAGCACATTGTTGTCTGCTCTCAAGGTACAAAATAGGGATATCAATGCTATAGTGCACGATTTCAATAGAAGTATTCTACAAGCTGCAAAAGAAGCAATCCCCAGAGGCTGTCGACACAACTATAGACCGTACTGGTCCAGCACACTCCAGGAATGCCAGGAAACAATGAATCAGACTAGAAAGGATGCAGAATCCCAACCTTCACCTGACAACCACATCAAATGGAAAAGGGCTGTAGCAGTGTTCCAGAGAACTAAACTTGAAGAAAAACGGAAAAGCTGGAGAAATAAAAACAGCAGCTCTAAACCTTGATAAAGATGGCAAGAAACTCTGGAGATTAGCCAAATCACTCAATGAAGAGAGTTTCTCGCCTAGACAAACAATCACGCTAAGTGATGGTGACAAAATCTTCAGAGGAAAACAAGCTGCAGATTTGTTTGCCAAAACATTCAGTGTTGAAAGCAACCTGACCCTTAATGAGGACCATCAGAGAGAAATAAGGAAAGAAATACAAACAAGCAAACAAACAAATAAGAGACAGACAGATACTCCTGCCTCTATGAGGGAGCCATTTACCATGGGTGAACTACAAAATGCCATCTTTAGGCTTAAGTTAAAAAAGTCTGCAGGTCCGGATGAAATCAGCAACGAAATGCTAATCAACCTGACCTCATCTGCTAAAGTAAAGCTGCTGGAAATTTTCAACATCAGCTGGGAGAAAGGTTTAGTGCCTCAAGTATGGAGAGAAGCCAACACAATACCCATTTTAAAAAAAAGGAAAAATTAAGACACAGGCTTCGAGCTATCGCCCAATTAGTCTCACAAGCTGTGTAGGAAAGACATTGGAAAGAATTGTAAATTCAAGACTGAAATGGCACTTAGAATCTGAGCAGATCTTGGTGCCAGAGCAGGCTGGGTTTAGGGAATGTCACAGCATAGAAGATCAAGTCACCTACCTGTCACAAGCTGTAGAGGATGCCTTCCAAGAGAAGAAAAAGGTCCTGGCGGTATGGGTTGACTTCAAACAAGCTTTTGACAAAGTCTGGAAAGATGGTCTCATTGCAAAACTGAAGAGAAATGGAATCCAAGGAAACATGCTAAAATGGATCCAATCCTTCTTACACAGCAGAAGAACTAGAGTCAGTCTTGATGGCCAGCAGAGTAGAAAAGTGTTACTTCGGCAAGGAGTACCACAGGGAGGAGTTATCTCTCCAACTCTCTTTCTTGTGTATATAAATGATCTGGTGAAAGACCTCCCTACAGGAGTAAAAGCTGCCCTGTATGCAGATGATCTGGCACTCTGGTGTACCGATGAACACACCACAGTGGCAAATATAAGAATGCAGCGAGCAGCAGATCTCTTGATGACATGGGCAGAAAAATGGCATGTTGCCATCAACACAGACAAAACATCCACAACGCTTTTCTCTCTTTCCACCAGGGACAAAGCTGCTAGTATTCACCTAGGAACATCCTTGCTAAAGGAAGAAAGCTTCCCCACTTATCTTGGAGTAACATTTGATAAAAGGCTCACATGGAGCAAACATATAGAAAATGTAGAAGGGAAGGCCAGGAGACGACTAGGCCTACTTAGAAAATTGGCAGGTACAGGATGGGGAGCAAATGGAAAAACCCTAAAGAAAGTTTATAATGGAGCGATAAGACCCCACTTGGAGTTTGGTGCAACAGCATGGTCAACAGCTGCTAATTCCCACCTACAATCGTTAGACAGAGTGCAAAATCAAGCTCTTAGACTCATCACAGGATCCATGAAAACTGCACCAATCCTGAAGATGCAGAAAATAACTGCAATGCAGACATTGTCCTATAGAAGAGACACTAAAACTATGATCCAGATGGAGAAGTTTAATAGTATGCAGTCACACCCAATGAATAAAAGGTTAGATGATCTGGCATTAGGGCGTCTCAAACGTAGCAGCTTTGTCCATCGGGGGGAAAAGACTTAGAAGACAGTACCAAGCTGATCTACCTATTAGAACAACACCGCTGAAACCTACCCTATACCCTGTACCTTGGGAGCAAGTCAGTGATACAATACAGATAATGACTTCAGTCAATGGATTCACAACTGGAGATGAGTCCAATGATCTTCAAAAACGAACAGCTGCTCTTAGCATGATTCATGAAAAACTATCCCGAACAGTCATGGATACATATTTACACAGATGGATCAGCAACCAGCGCGGTTAAAAATGGGGGTGCTGGAGTCTTTATTACATACCCAGGCAACCACCGCCACACAAAGTGGATACCCACTGGTAAATTCTGTTCCAACTACACAGCAGAGATTGTAGCACTAGAGCAGGCTGCCGAAATGTTACACAACACCAGTTCTGACTGCCACCAAGTGGTTATATTCACAGATGCGCTTTCAGTGCTTCAAGCCCTCAAGAGTGGCAAACTCCCTCACTTGAGATCTAAACTTGGCAAGGTGGCTGCCCAAAAGTGTACTGTACTCCAGTGGGTGCCATCCCACTGTGGTATACCAGGAAACGAAACCGCAGATAAACTTGCTAAAAAAGGGGCAGAATGTGACCAAGAAGAGAATGCAGTAACATACTATGAGAAGAAAAGGGCCATCCAGGCTATCAGAAGTGAACAGAGTCTGGCCAGAGATGACTACCACTTACTTGACCGGCATGGGCAGGTCATTGTCCTACGTCTCAGGACAGGACATAACAAACTTAACCAGCATATGCACAGGCTTCGTCTAAGTAGTTCACCTTTTTGCATTTGTGGGCTATGTGTGCAGACTACAGAACATGTCCTGCAAGACTGTCCCTTGTTCAGCCCATTAAGAAAGGAATACTGGCCCAGTGAGTCACCACTGTACACAAAGTTGTATGGGACTAAAAATGAACTAATTAAAACAGTCAAGTTTATCACAAGAACCTGTCTGTCGGTGTAAATCAGAAAGCGAACACAAGAAGAAGAAGAAGATTATGTGGCCAAAGAACAGTGTTTGTCTCCTTATTCCCTACACCTATGTAAAAAAAAATTATCACAAAATTAAAAAAAAAAAAAAACCCGTTGTCTTAATCTGGTTGATTTAGAAGATTTTCATGAACTTATCAACCGTGAAAGGTATCGCGTGCTGCCCCAAAAAAAAAAGTTATTTTTATCGTTTCAGCGCAAAAACCATGTTATGTCACAGCCTCATAATTGTCTCCACATGATTTTTCGCGTACAGAGTACAGAAAAATAGTTTCTCAATGAGAGTTAATGCTTCTTCTTCAGCATTCCGAGCCCTTGAGGTTTATTGCTGCAGATATCACCCGCTTCCACTCATCTCTCTAGCTGGCTTTCTGAGTTTTCCCTTACCTTCAAGTTGGTGGTAATACACCAAGTGTTTGCAGGTCTCTCTGGACATTATCTCTTTTAGTTGTGCTCCAAGTTTCCCGGCCATTTAAAACGACTGGTCTTATCAACGTTTTATATATTTTGATCTTGGTGTTGCGAGATGCAAACTTTGGTTGCTAGATACTGACTTTAGCCGATGTTGAAGGGCATAGTATACTTTATTTGCAGATTGTATTCCATATTGTATCTCTTATCTCAGCATGTTGGAGCAGTTGAAGTTTCCACCCAAGTACTTATATGATTCAGTACGTTTGATTTTCATAGGGTCAGTAAAGCCTTGTTATTCAGGGTTGCAATGTGTCTATACCACTTCTGCTTTGAATCAAATCCATTCATTAACAAGCTTATGTAACAGTAACACTATGTAAATGTAATTGTTTACAACCAGGAGATTCAACTGGCCCGCAGAGGGAAAACAAGTGGGCCGCAGGTTACTGCTATGCTGGGGCTCAAACTTCTCAGGCACTTTGGCCCCTGAGTCATACTTTAGACTTAGATGAAACTGAACTTGAATCAGAATTAGAATAGTGAATAACCCTTCCCACATTCAGAGTTTTTGAATTTTTCAATTTTTTCACACTGTGATTTGTTTTGTAAACTTACAATCTGAATTACAAAGTTTGTAACAAACAAAATGCTGAATTTTAACCTTTTAATAACATTAACAGCTGAAGTTGTACGAAAAAGAAGAAACGAGAGAGTCTGCTTACTTCTCCTGTGTGTGTTCTAATGTGTGTAGCGAGCCTGTCTTTTCTCTTAAAGGACTTCCCACACCCCTCAACAGAACACTTATTCGATGCAACATCCATGCTTTCCAATGTGTCAACAGTGCTGTTGTGTGCTGCCATGCTGTTTCCGGTTGAAAACACACACAAAAAGATAGGAAAGAAAAGATAGAAAAGGTTAGGGAGAACATAAAAATCCAGGGCTTTTTTTTTTTTTAATGCTGGCTATCTACACCCTCTGAAATACTGGACTGTCTGTTTAGGGTAAATGAAAACGAAAGCACTATTTTTAAGGTGCGGTGGAGGGGAGGGGGGGGGGAGGGGCAGTGTTGCCACTTTTCTTTGACAAAAAATATCCAAAACGGTGTCAGAAAATATCTAGAAAGATCTAAATCTGCGTGGAAAAGATCTAGAAAAAACATCCAAATTGAAAAAGTCAAAAATTACATAGCTTTTGTTATGACTTACCCTACATAATCATGTCCTCACCTTCACTGATGTCTGCCTCACAAGATCCACTGGATAAACTTTGCTTGGATAATGAAGTTAAAGCTTCAGATCCAAAATGATCTTGGTATGCTTTAGCTGATCAAATTTCTTTATAAGTGGAACAGTAGGCTTATTTCTCTAGTCTCATCAGGCACGATAGCATTTAAGAGGTCAAATTTCATCCTGTTTTTTTAGGTTAGATTTGATATAATCCCTAGAACTGAAAACTCTTTCTACGTCAGCATTTGAGTGGGGTAGTATCATGGCAGACATGGCACTTTAAAGAGCTTACAGAATGGACTGTTTAATGAGGTATCTTTAAATTGTCTCACTTCACTCCAAAACGCTTTAGTTTCTGTTTTATTTGTCCATTCAGCTAACTTTATTTTGGTTAACTGATATTCTGCTTCCGCGACACTATTATCAGTAGCCCCTAAAAATTTCATAACTTTACAATATTTAGGTATGTCCTTTGTTGGCTGAAGTATGTTGCTCACAGAAAAAATTGAAATATTTTTTAAAACATCTAGATTTTCAAGAAGTCTCTGCTTCAATTGCTTCAATAATGAGATAAGGAAATCTTGACAGCGTTTTCTTAAGTTTTTTTTTTTTTTTTTTTCCATTCTCTGTTAACAGTCCTTTTGTTTTTAAATCATCAATTTTTGATTCGATTTAATATCCAAGGTGTGGCTTAGGAGCCAAATAGCTCTCTATAGTGCAAGTGAGCAAATCAGCTTTAGAAGTTGGCAACACCAGTCTTTTACCGAGTGAAATAGCAAGGTGAGGTATATCATCAAGTAATTTAACTTTATCAACAAGTTTAGATTCGAACAGTTTATTAACTTTTTGCACTTCTATTAGAAAAGGTTATAAAAAGAGAATGAGTAAAAAAAAATTTTCATCACTGTACATTCCATATAGTATTTCAGCTGTGTAGCACTTTTCACTTTGTGTTGTTATTTCAAAGTGTATCTTCAACTTCAGCCATTGCTTCATAATTCTTTCAACAGCTGGTTAAATTGATAACCATCTAATTTTACAATCTGACAGAATTTTCGGTGGTGTGGGACCATCATTCAAGGCTGTATATAATGTATTGTATTGCTGTTGTCTGACAAATGATTTGGAAAACCAGTTAAGTGTTTTAGCAATAAGGTATTCCAAATTCCTTGGTAAATATTTAGATGAAGCATGTGATAATGCTAGCTGCAATGAATGACGCACACATTTTATAAGTATTAACGATGGGTTAGCTTCCTTCAACTTGGCATAAACGCCATTGTTTATACGAACCATCACTGAGGCATTATCAGTACCAATTACAGCCAAATTCTTCAAGCCTAACTGTTTGCTGATTAAAAGGTCCTTCAGTTCCTAAACTATACTTTCTACACCACACTTTTCAAATTGAACTAGTCCAAGATTTTTTACAAATAGATCAAATGGTCACAGTTTGAAATTGCGCAGTGACAAATTAAAAACATTGCGACTGATACTTCAACTTTTGATGATCATTTATCAGTATAGTTCTGAAAACAGATGTCAGCGGTGTAATATCTTTAAATGAAACTGCAGTTTTATGCTTTTTTAGTCTCTGCATGACTCTTTGAGTTTTGTATTTTCGCTTTAATCTCACACTTGCAGTACTTACAACAAGCTTTAATCATATCCCCAGTTTTTAATTTTGTCATCATGCAACCACTCTTTCCAATTATTTTGCTCATACTTTACTTTTGGCATGTTGAAAGGTTTTTTCAAAGTGAAAGCCACATAAGAAGGTGAGCAATTATTTTTTTTAAATCACATGAAAAAGAAACACAAAGTCAGCACAGTGAGGATACGGTTGAAACAAAGTTAGTATGATTTACGCGCGTTTTTATTAATCAGTACCGGGGCTGCCAGATAGTTGTGAGTTCAAAGTTCAAGTAATGGAAGTTGTCACAATGTACGTGCCAAACCAAAACAAAAATATTGTAGTAAATATTTTACACAGTTATTATTAAATTGACAATGAAAGAAAAAGAAATCTATAAAATATCTAACTCCATACGAAAATCTAGAAAAATATTTACCATCTAAACGTCAAAAACAGTATCCAAATGCAATGAAAAAGATCTAAATTTGGATATAAAAGATCCAAAGTGGCAACACTGGGGGGGGGGGGCAGTACCTGCACTCTCTGTTTTTTAAAGGCGTCATCTCGTCGGCTTCGAGATTTCATAAGGAACTCCTAGGGGTTTTGCCATACCATGTTACCGCGGGAAAAAGGGGGGGGGGGGGAGGGGTGTGGTAGAGCTATTGTTAAATAGTGACTACGGTACTGTTTGAATAGCCGACCACAAACAGGGGAAAATCCACAGGTCACGGGACAGTCCAATATTTCAGGGGGTGGATAGTTTTGTAATTTGGCATTTCATTTGCTGTGTAGTGTTGGGTGTTGTGGAATTTTTTTTTTTTTTTTTGGTCTGTGCATTTGTATGTGTGTTTGTGTGGACTTTATGTGCAATCAGGAGGATGCAGTTTTTCTGGAAGGAGGATGTAGTTTTTCTGGAAGGAGGATGCAGTTTTTCTGGAAGGAGGATGCAGTTTTGCAATTTGTATGTGTGAAATTGTATGTGCAATCAGCATTGCGTATTGGGGGGGGGGGGGGGGGGTGGCCCTAAAAAAAGGGCCAATCAATCTAAGTGTATACAGCTGAGTTCACGAAATAACAGTCAGAACAATTTTGCACGTTAGATTCAGTGTATCGGTTTGTAATATTGGCACTTATAGCCTTTTGGAACTTTAAGTAGCCCTACGACATGGACATTGCGTATATTATAGGCTGAATTCAGTCATGGGACCTATGCTGCATACAGTCATGGGACCTATTGGGTGTGTGCTGATGTGGGAAGATAGCACACGAACATCTGATCATGTGCCTAGGGTATAATAGTTAGTCGACAGATTATCCTAATTGCACGTCGAACCACTCAGTCCATAAGTGCTCTGATCCCCTCTTCAGTAAACCCTCAGCGTGTAGTGGCTAACGACATCAGTTCTGTATTGGTTTATTATTATTCTTTGGCTACTTGCGTAGTGTTCTTGTTTGGAGACAACCCGTTTAACATGTTTTTCTTGCAGTCTGACCATGGTTGCAGATTCACAGTTCTCACTTGGTTCACGCAAACGTCTTAACTCAGAGCATTCAGTATATCAGCCTGGTCCATGGCTTGTATTGCTTTCACAGTGGCCTTACCTGCAAGCCTGTCAGCTTGCTCATTTCCTTGTACTCCCACATGAACTGGTACGAAAATGAAGCTAATCCTCGTCAGCCGTGAATTATGTATAACCACCAACCCCTGCCTTCGGACCCAGCCCTTCTCTATCTTCCTGAGCATACTCATCGAGTCACAGAGAAAGCATGCCCCAGTGAAAGTCTGCGTCTCTAGACATGCTACTGCTTTAGTCATAGCCATGACGTCCTTAGTCAGACTACTTGTAGTAACAGCAAAAGCTCCAGAATCTTTCTTCACAACTCTCTCTCTTTCTCTCTCTCTCTCTCTCTCTCTCTCTCTCTCTCTCTCTCTCTCTCTCTCTCTCTCTCTCTCTTTAAACTGAGCCGTGAAAGCCCACGAGCTTCTAACGTGGCGGATCACAGAACTATCTGTGTAAAGGACAGCATCACCATCTAGAGCGTTCTCGAAAATCAAGACTTGAACTTCTGCTTCCACAGCAGCCGGACTCTGTCAAGTTGGATGCAAACAGAAAAAAGATTTACAGCACTCTGAGGGCACCTGTACTCCTCGCCTGCTTCTATGTCCTCAAGTGAATATACCTGTAAAATAATGTCATCGGCTTGACCCATTGTCGCGAGTCCCAAAGTAGATAGTTGCTTTTGTGATGAGTAAATTTTTTCTCAACACTTCACCTCCACCACAGAAACTAGACTAATATCTATGCTGATCTCAAAGTCCTGGATATCCAAGAAAACAGCCATATTTGGCTCGTCATGTAAATACACAACAGCTGCACTCGGTACCCACAGGAGTAGGAAAAGGGATAGATAGATATCAAGATGAACCCAATGAGATATCAAGATACACAGTTAACCCCTCCGACTTTCTCCTCTCCCTATATTAATTATTAAAGAGCACCCACCAAATGTAATTTTATGTAACAGTTTAGTTAAACAGGTAAGACCGAAAACACTTGGAATTTAACAAACAATGTAGTATAAAACTTGACATACAGCTTTATTTACTAACGATAATTTCAATGAAATTAACCAGTTTGTAGTGTTTACACAAACAGTGACTGGCTGATGGAATGATAGTGATGAGATGCTTCAGCTAGAAAACTGAGCACCTGGGATTAGAGTGGTGAGATAATGGTGATAAATTTACGAACAATGTGTGGACGTAACTTTGTTATAAAACCTCTGACAACCGTGAGACACTGTCAAGCTTTTCCACCTCTTCCAGCTACTTCCCAACTGGTTCCATCTCCTTCTCTGCCTGTTCCAGCTTATTCTCCGACTGTCCCCGCCTGTTCCCAGCTTGTCGATCTCCCACAAAGTAGGTTCGTGCATGTGACCATCTAGTTCTATCAGAGCA